CCGCTTGCGCTGAGTCGCTTCGGCAGCGGGGTCGCTCGTGGTATCAACGCCGCCTGCCCGGGGCTTCGTCGTCCGGGGACGAGAACCCCGTGTGCGAGGGGTCAGGAGTCACACCCACGCGTGGGGAGGCTTCGGGACCCCGCGCTGCGGGAACCCACCACGGTGTCTGTGCCACCACGGTGCCCAAGAGCCAGCGCCGCGCCTGTCTGCAAAGCCGACCGGTACGGTACCGGGACAGAAGAGGTCCAGAAGAGGACGAAGGCGAGCAGACGGCCACGGGCGAAGGCAGCGGGGTGACCGAGTCATCCTGCAGGACGGCAAGGGTCCGGCGCGCCGCGGCTCGCGCGTCGGCAGGGGTTTTAGGCCCTCGCTCTGCAAGAGCAGAGGGAGCGAGTCTTCACGCCTGCACACGCGTTCAGAGCGTCAGTGGAGATTTTATACGTACAAGTAGCTGGCTGGCATGGACCCACTTACAGAGGAATTTAAACTAAACCAAAATGTGTTTTTCTAGTTAAGTTTTTCAGTATTTTTGCCTTCAGGTGTGACTGTGCGCTTTTAAACGTTCTTATCCTCACGGTGTTTAGTAAGAAGTGCTCCAGACAACTCTTTAGAGATAAATTAAATGTGCCCTGAAATAATTTTAGGTCCCAATCCTGCCACTTGCTGTATGCAGTGTAGGAATAATGCATTACATTTTGGGCAAGATACGATGAATAATGTCAAACACTGGAACTGGTCAGGAGAAATAAAACTGGAGTTGCAAAAGCCGCGCTTGGAATGACTGGTACGTGCTGTGTGTCGTGAATAGAGCGTTAATTCTCTGTTTTTGGCAGATGCAAAATGCCAATGCGAGTGAATGGGAGGAATGAATGACGTGAAATGCAACACTGTGACACTCGGACAAACTTTTTTCAGACAATACCGTCAATATCGCATGCTGTCACAAGTTACAAAACGTCCATCTTCCTCACGCGCTGCCGGTTGGCGCTCATCTTCATTGGCCTGGGTGGCCAGGAGGGTAACAAAACAGTCTCCAAGCTTCTGAGTTTGATATTCAATTGCCTAACTTGTAATCATAATCGATGATGTCCTGTGGAAACATATTTACGTATCGTTCGTAAAATTTATTGCTGAAGTTGAGCACCGCAGGATATTGCACAAAGTTCCAGAGGGAGCACGAGGATGAATAATGGCGTAGTCACCCTTTCCTGGCAAAGGCCGCTTACGAAAGCATGGGAAGGGGCAGCAGCATGAGCAGAACGTTTGGAGAACACGCAGGGGAACAGATGTGCTGTGAAATCATCATTCTGTCCAAGTCAGAGACGAGAACAGAGTTCATACCACCAGGATTCAGTATTAAAAGCGTTCCCATTGTTATGGACAAACGCACGTAGAGGAAAAAAAGTAATAATTTAGAGAAAGTGCTAGTGGCAAGACTAAAACTACTTTTGAGATAGATGAAAAACCAGCACAGCAGTTTATGCTACGGAAAGCAGCAGATGGAAGGTTGGCTTGATCCAGCTGAAATGGAAGTTTTGACAATGGAAGTTCTGAGCGACTGGGCAGGAGAGGTCGCTTATCCAGTCACATAGGTGCCCTAAAACTGCTCCAGCTCGTGCTTCTCTTGCTGAAAGCTTTCCCTGCCGCACGTGTCCAGCCCCGAGCCTGCGCTGGCACCGCCAGCTCTGCGCGCTCAACGCCGGCGCCTCGAGTGAGATGAGCAGAATTTCCTTAGGCAAATCAAGTATTTGGGTTACGTTTGTCACGCAGCTGAAGACAAACGCAACGTCCGAGTATTACCGGGAGTACCGTAACTGGTGCTTCCTCGGCAAACCCAAACGCATAAATGTTTCACTAGAAAGCCAGATTTTGCTTTAATCTTTAAATCTTCCGCAGGTAACTAAAACAGCTAGTCATGAAAACAGACTTCCTTAAGCTCAAGCACGACCTTCTGGAAGTTTTAACTGAAAATTACCATTTGAGCATGCAAGGAACGGCTGTTAATGCTCAGTTAGCCTCGGGTGACGCCTGCCGTGTATCCCGACCGTGCTTCCTTGGGGCAACGAACAGCCACGAGCGGGGCTTCCCCGTTACTTTCTTGGTCGTCAGCTGCTCCCCAAATCTCTACCTTCCCGTAGCAAGTTTGGCTTTCACGGCTTCAGCAGCAGGAGGAGGAGGAGGGCGGTGGCGGCCGCCCTCAGCCCCTCCTTCCCGCCGCGGTCCCCTCAGGCGCCACCGCTCCCCCCGTTGCCGGGCGACGCCTCCTCGGCCGCTCACCCAATCTCCTTCGGCGCGCCACGCTTTCTGACAGGACAGCTCTCTCTGCCTCGTCCTGATTGGCTCCTCGCCGCCGCGGCCCTGCCCCCTGCTCCGTGCTCATTGGTTCCTCCCCGGTACGGGCCCCGCCTCCTGCACCGTGGTCCCCTCAGGCGCCACCGCTCCCCCCGTTGCCGGGCGACGCCTCCTCGGCCGCTCACCCAATCTCCTTCGGCGCGCCACGCTTTCTGACAGGACAGCTCTCTCTGCCTCGTCCTGATTGGCTCCTCGCCGCCGCGGCCCTGCCCCCTGCTCCGTGCTCATTGGTTCCTCCCCGGTACGGGCCCCGCCTCCTGCACCGTGCCGTCCCCGCGCGGGGGTTTAGGCGGCCCCTTCCCGCACGGTCCCTCAGGGGCCACCGTAGCGCGGGCCGTACGTGGCAGCGGAGCTGTGTCGGCCAATGAGCGGCGGCCCCGTGCCCCGGAAGGGGCGTGGCCCGAACCGGAAGTCCCCCTCCCCTTTTGCTGCCGTCCCGCCGCTCGGTGCCCCCTCCCGCTGGGCTCCGCCATGTCGCCGGTGCGGGCGGGGCTGGCGCTGGTGG